CCCCCCCCCCCCAGTCCCTCTGCCACCTCTGCGTAATGGGGAAAATAGCACTGGATGATGACAATTCCGGAGACTAAAATTGGGTCCAACGCATCCTGAGTCCTAAGCTGGTAACATACAACAAAGGTGCACAGTGAATCACTCCTCTCCCTTCCTTCTTCCCTCACCGCCGTCAAGATCACCATGGTGGCCATATTCCCCACTGCTCCAGACTGAAAGGATAGACATGATGCAAGAAATGATTTTTAATCACAGAATAAGCCTCAGGCTCCCCATCTGCCACAGAATTGGCTCTGGTGTCAAACTTCAAGTTCACTGGGAAATAAACCCTAATATCTCCCCTGGCTCCAAGACCAAGAGAGTCCCGGTGCCATAAAGAAGCGCAGAAGGTGCTCAGAGCTGCTGGTAATTGAGCAAGAATGAGTTAGTACCAAAACACGGAAGCACCATCCCAGCCCGGGGTGCAGGAGAGGAGGCAGGTATACAGCAGGTGGCGCTCCGGACCAAGCTTGTTTCCTGGTGTCCCGCAGATTTCAAAGGCCGAGGCACAAGGGGACCAAAGGGGCTTGGCTCGGTAAACTCATCCCTGGGAAAGTAAAGAGGCTGTTATGACACCTCAGGGGAACGGAATGGCAGGGCAGACCTGAAGATTGTGCAAAATTTCTCCTTTTCCTTACTTTTTCACCATCTTCCAGACCCCCACCCCCTTTTCCCTGGAGAACACATATCCCCGCCCTTGCCTGTTCACTGCTCCCAGGCTGCCCTCCCGAGAGGAAGAGAGAGAGAGAGAGGGAGAGCGAGAGACAGAGCAAGCGTCAGAGGAGAGGGGAAAATGCCTAGTACCTAATAAACTAAACCATGCCAAGGAGGAAGGGGTGCTCTCTGTAAAGTGTAAAGGATCCCTGGAGAGGGCAATGTTTAACAGAAAGCATATGATATGGTAGAATTTTAGAAAATCAAGGCAACCAGAAAAGACTTCCAAGTACCATTCAAACCGTAGCACACACATAACCACCTACTCTGCTAGGAGTTTAGTAACCGATTAGCAATAATTCATTATGTGCCCACCTGCTAGGAGAATGATAATAATGATAGTAACTGATGTTTATTTAATGCTTACTAAAACCCAGGCATTGCACTAAACACTTCATGGGTATTAGTGCTTTTAATCTTCATAATACCCTCTATGAAATAGGAATCACGAACCCACTCCACTTTACAGATAACACTTACCCAAAATCACACAGCTAGGAAGTCAAAATTCAATCCAGACACAACTCCAAATACCTACCCATTATACAACACTGCCTCCCAGTCTTAGAGAAGCCTTGTTTATAAGCCCTGGAGAACTTTGTCTCCCAGGCCATAGAATTCTGCACAGAACCTGGCCCACAAGTTCAAGGGGGGACTCTGGTGCTAAGAAAAGACTAATAAAGCTAGTTAGGTGTTCCACATTCAATTTATTGATGTTTTAGATTTAAAATCCCAGGTTCAACTTTAAATTATTATTCTATTCATAAAAGTAATACTTTTTTTAAAGAGACTTATTTTCTATTTTTTTTTATTTTAGAGAGAGACTGTGTGAGCGGGGGAGAAGGGTAGAGGGAGAGAGAAAGAGAGAGAGGGAGAGAGAGACAGAGAGAGGGAGAGGGAGAGGGAGATTCTCAAGCAAGTTCCACACTCAGCATAGCGCCCGACACAGGGCTCGATCCCACAACCCTGGGATTGTGACCTGAGCCAAAATCAAAAGTTGGGCACTCAACTGACTGAGCCACCCAGGCGCCCCAGTAATAATTTTTATAGAATAGAAATTTTACTTCATGCTTTAATTTTTAATTCTACATATTCTTTAATTAATGTTTGATTAATTCAAATTGAACAGGTTAAAGCCCCCTTAATTTTAGATATAGACTATATTTACTGTGTGCCAGGCATTGTTCTAAGCATTTTTCAAATATCAATTTATTTAATCCTCACAATAATTTAATAATAGCAACTATAATTAATCCCCACTTTACAGATGAGGAAACTGAGGCACAGAGCGGTTAAATGATTGGCCCAAGTTTATACTAAATAGCAAAGCTATAATCTGAACCTACACCAGGATCATCAAACTTTATCTGTAAGGAGCCAAACAGTAAATATTTTTGTCTTTTCAGCTCATACAGTCTCTGTCACAACCACTCAGCTCTGCTCTCACAGCACATACCCAGCCAAAGATAATATACAAATGAATGAGCATGTTTATGTTCCAATAAAAAATTTTATGGACACTGAAATTCAAATTTTATATAATTTTCATATATCACAAAAGAATCCTTTTGATTTTTTTTTAACCATTTAAAAATGTCAAAACCATTCTTAGATTGCAGACTGTATAAAAACAGTCAGCAGGCCCTAGTTTGCTGACCTCTCTACATAATCTGGTTCCAGAGTCCATGTTCTGAAACGTTATGCTAGACTTTACCTTTTTAAAAATATAAATTAGATTTCCTTGAACATTTTTAACTACCTGGCATTTAATATACGTATATTTTTAGGCATTTTATTTTTTTTTAATGCTTGTGTTTTTGAGAGAGAGAGAGAGACAGAGCATGAGGGGGGGGGAGGGGGCAGAGAGAGAGGGAGACACAGAATCCAAAACAGGCTCCAGGCTCCAAGCTGTCAGCACAAAGCTTGACACGGGGCTCAAACTCACCAGTGCGTGAGATCATGACCTGAGCCAAAGTCAGGACCCCCAGCTGACTGAGCCACCTAGGGGCCCCTAAGCATTTTAAATGCCTAACAGGGCAAACAACCTTTTCAGGCAAAACTTTTCTAAACTTATTCAACCCTGTGCATCTAATACATTAAACTTATAAACATTTATCCAATTCTTTTAATCCTCCTCAAATCTCAAGTCCAAAATTTTACTTCCCAAATGGCAGGCTAATACATCAGATTCTCTTCAACATCAAATATTTTAATTCGTAAAGTCACTTACCTATACCTCTGGAAAGCAAACTTACTGGCTCAGGTAGGTCAAGATTACTAGGCTAAATTTGGAATCACAGTAAAGGTCTTTAAAAGTCATATTTGAGACCAAGGCACAAACCTTAGGAGCTCCATATTCCCAAGACAGTGCTATCTGAATCACGAGTAAACACTCTCAACCCAATTAGAAATGAGTTCTGTCTGCTGTGTCATAGTCCCTAAGGCCATTTCCTTCAACTAATGCAGCATTCCAACTCACAGTTTACAGTTTTACCTGTTTTTTTGTTGTCTCCTTTAGGTGCAACTAATTTCTTTACTCGACTGAAGTTGAGTAAACAAATTATTGTAGAAGTGTTGAATTCTGTATTCCTTTTGGTTGGAAGAGGAGTTGGAAATGGGAACCACCTCCTCTGGTTCGATTCTTTGCTTTCTTAATGCTATAAGATGTAGTGCTATGCCACTGTCCATGCTTTGGAAGTTGCATATCAAGGTACAGTCTTTACACCTGTACATTTGGAAGGGCTTCTTGGCTATGATTCGCCCATCCTCCCTTCCTCTCAGTAGCCATCGCTGGCAGAAATAACTCGGCAGAGAAAGAAAGCTGTATAGAAAGAAAGCTGTATGTGTAGTGAGACACAGCAAATCCCAAAGCGGGGCCCATCTAAATATACCTGGATAAAAATCTCCGTTTCCTTCAAGTGTTCAGTATAGTGAGATCTAGATACAGCTG